AAGAAGCTATTAATTTAATGTACTACCTCTCTCGCTCTCTCGCTCTCTCGCTCTCGCTCTCTCGCTCTCTCTCTCTCTCTCTTTCAGTCCATCGCAACCCATCGATGGCCACGTAAATGATCCAACTTCCTGAGTGCAAACAGTGAGATCGTCTCATGCTTGAAAATGCAAAGAGTGAAGCAAAAAAACCTACCCAATCCAAACTGCCCCGCTGGATCTTTATCAAATTCTTTCAACCCTGGTGCCTGAAGACATGCGCTGGACTTCAGAGAGCCACCTTTTGACAATTGGTTTCAAGCTGTGTGCACACTAGTGTCGGTCAACTCTCAGAACAGGTTCCTGAAACCCATGCACAAGTGTGTGAGCTCTCTTTCGGTCGATGGGAGACAAACATTCTTTCCGGCAAAAGATCATTCTATTTTTTTCCGAACTAAGAGCGATGGCCTCCAACCTAAGGTTTCTTTTCCTTCAGGTCTTTCCAAACTGAAAAGCCAAGTTGGAGACAGTGGCCTCTAGCCTACTCCGGGGGGGCCATCTACCGTAAGCCCACCTTCTCGACAGCCACAAGAATATCTGCTTCCAATCGTAAAAACATACTAGTAGCTTCTTGTTACTAGTAGTACGGCCAGGAGCCCCTAGTAGCTTCTTTGCTCCTAGTAGTACACTTTTTGTCTTTGTTCCTTCTTACTTTCTTTTCTTCTCATTTTTCTTTAGACCTTTAGACCTTTTCTTTTTTTCACTTCGTTCAATTAGCTTATCATTGCCAGCTGAAGAGCTGATACCACGAAGCTATCAGGACGACTGAATGCCTCTAAGTCGGAATCGGCGAAGCAGTGTTTGTTCACCATCCTCCCCATAACGCTACTAGGAACAAGTGCATCGCTTCTAGTAACAAGTGCCTTACTAGTAGTAACAAGGACGCTACTAGGAACGATACGCCAGCCAATAAGCTTCGGCTACAGTGCGTTCCAGCTTCCACCGCGGCGTTTCAGATCCTTTGGAGACGACTTAAGTGAATCCAGGTATGGTGAGAGATCTGAGTATCCTTGTGTGATACGATTTACTGACGATGCACGTGTTACTAGTAGCTTCTTGTTACTACGAGTAAGGCACTTGTTACTACTAGCGATGCACCTGTTACTAGTAGCGAGATTCATCAGATTCATCCTGTCTTTTTGTGTCTATGGCTTCCTCTCTCAGCGATCTCTTTCTCCATCTCCATCGCTCAACTCACTCTCCTTAACAGCTCTATGCCCACAGGCACTTATGTCAAGATCCTGACGATCAAAGTGAACACGCATTGTGAGCAGAGACGTTGACGGCATCAGCATCATTTGATATGGACTTGGGCAACTTTCCTTGTGCCTGACATAGCAATGGGCGAAAGGCGTGGCCAAAACGCGTCTTCTTCGTCCTGTTCCTGCTCCTTTCTTTGTTCTTTCCTTTTTGTTTAGACCTTTCTTGTTTCTTTTCTTTCCACCTGCGACCTTCAGCCGACAGCATGAAATCAGCCGAGTCACGGCATGAAACGTTCCTGAGCTGTAGAGTCACGGCTTTCTTGGACAACTTTGGATGTCAAGAACACTTGCTCAGGGACTTTTTCCTTAAAGCGATTGCCCCGTTGTTACACCGAGGATTGATCCTGCCAACCTACTTGCTGAAAGGGTAATCACGCTTAAACGCAACATGTGAGAATAGAAACCATTTTGTGGCAGGAATTGGTGGCCATCGTGTGAAAAGGCCACTTTTCCCATCCAAGTGATACCACCGGTTGGGGCCCATCACAGCCCCAGTTCTGACAAAGGAGCTGGTTCCACATCCCAGGTCACAAGCACCTCAGACTTGTTCGCTCGGGCTCGCGGTTTGTTTCGAAAGATGCTTCGATTGAAAGAACACTCGTCAAACCGAAAGACCTAAAGTTGACGAAAAGAACATCAGGTGCTGCAACAACCGACATTTTCTCAGATTGAACGACGGCATTGCTTGTTTGTTGTTTGTTCAACTGCTTGGAGGCAGCACTGTCTGACTGCATGGTCTTTCTTGCCCCCGAATCTCTCTGTTTAAATACCGTGCCTTTCCCTTCGTCGCATCCTTCTGTGAAGACTGGCGCAGGAGAACTTTCAGGTGAAGCACATCTCAAAGCATGTTCACACATGCTATCTGCTATTGTCCTTCTGACTGTTATGCAGTCAAGGAAGCGTGAGCTATCCTGAGTCCATGTCTAGTAACTTAAGTAGCTAGCAGCTAGCTAGCAGCTAGTAGCTTGCCTCCTTACTGAATTAAGTAGGCGCCTACTTAATTAAGTAGGGAGGGGGGCAGCGGGCTACAATAGAAGAATCGTGGTATCGCTCCACGAGGCCTTTGTGCTCCGCGGTGTCATCATTTCTTCAGCCTGTGGATCAAGTCGACTTCACGGACCCGGCAGGTGCGCTGGATGATGGATAGTGACGTGCCGCTGGGGAGAAACGGTCAGTTCCATGGAGCAAGTCGCAAGGTTCAAGCCTTTTCCATGCCCTGCCTACACCAAGACACTCGACATATACCGCTCATTGGCGCTTCTCTGAGTCTCCAAGCTACAACTTCGCTGCGAACAAAGGACACCACCTCAGTTCCAGTCTGGCACCACACCCTGCCAAAATCCAAGAATCTGCAGCAAACTGACAAATTCATGTGACATCACGCTGTTGAAGGGCAACAAGAAACAACTTCTCAGGGCTCTAACAAAACGCATTAAGTGTGAGCTTTCCTGTGTCCATACTAGTAGCTTCCTAGCTACTACTCACTTCTTGCTACTGGCTACTTATTAGCTATCACCTCCTACACGCAGCCTACCCTACCCCGCTAAAAAAAGGAACAAAAGAAGGAAACAGGAAACACACACACACACAAGCAAGAAAAAAACGAAAAGGGCCAGGAACTAGAAGAAGCCTGGCGCCCCGGCGTGTAGCTTCCCTTTGTCGTCCTCACAACCCAGCAACTTCACGCAGAGCTCAGCTACTCCACCCTACTAGCGATGGCCTCCAACCGAAGAGCGATGGCCTCCTACCCCAAAAGCGAGAGCCCAAACCCACACGGGAGCACCATGCAAGGGCTTCTTCAAGGACGCTCCCGAGAGTGTGTCCAAGCCTAGTAGTTGCTTAAGCTTAGTAGTTTCCTTTCGCTACTACTTAAACTCACTACTAGGAGCAAAGGGCATCGCTACTAGGAGCAAGAAGCTACTAGTAGCTAGAAGCTACTAGGTTGGAGGCCATCGCTATTAGGTGGGAGGCCATCGCTACAGTTAAGTTTCCCTAAAATCTAGGAACCAAATGAATAGTGCGAGCGTGAGCTATCCTGCGTCCATATGTAGTAGCGTCCTGTAGCTTGTAGCTACCTCCCTCCCTCTTCTACCGGCCTACCCCTCCCCTCGGGAAAATGGTTCTAATATAGTTTGCTTCTACTATAGTACTACCCTCAACTACCACCTCTTACCGGCCTGCCCTCCCGCCCATATTTAAAAATCCTTCAAAATCTAGGAACCCCGAAGCATCGAAGAAACAAAGCGGTCCAAAAAAAAAAGGAAACAAAGCCGACCGTCGTCCTGAATCTTGGTCTTTCCTCCTGCTGGAGTTCGTAGACGACGCAGGGACCAAAGGCCAAACTGAGCGATGAAAAGCGAACCGAACTCGCTCCTCGCTTTGTGATGGTCAGTTCACAAAATGCAAGCTTCGCATAGGATGTTCATAGTCGATGCATAGGATGTTGACTACATGAGCGTAACGCGTTAGATGTTGACTTTTGACCGCATGGGACCTTTTATTTCAATGATGCTATTTCCAAAGACTCGGGGTACGCCCTCAACCAGCCAGCGAATTGACTGAACATATATCAAGAAACCATTGATCGGACAGTTTCCGCAAGTCTTTGGACGCAGGCACATAATCTATGTGGCGAGTTTGTTTGTCAAACATCACACCTGCTTCATCTCATAACATCATCTCTGCCCGTTTCATCTGTGAAGGGCTTTCAATGCAAGCTCTTCTTAAGTGTCCGACCATGCAGCACACCAGCACAAAGGTTGCTGCCCTGAGCTCTCGAACACTGGCAAATGGCCTTCCTGAATCCAACTTATCCTCTAAGCGAGAGGTAAGCAGTTGTGATACCTTTGCCTTCCCACGTGTTTTTATTGTAGTTGTTCCCCAATAGCCATGCTATGGGGTCTTGCAAAACTAATAGGCGGACGGGCGCCGTCGGGTCACCGTCAGAGCTGGTGGGCGGATGGTGTCCCGGTCATGTTTTGATGGTGTCCCGATCATGTTTTGATTGTGACCCAGTCATGTTGTGATGCTGTCCCGCTCCTGTTTTGATGGTGTCCCGGTCATGTTTTGATGGTGTCCCGGTCATGTTGTGATGGTGTCCCGGTCATGTTTTGATGGTG